TAGGAGAGGTAAATGGGGGATGTGATGAGGACTATCACCCTGCGTCTTACAAGTCCTTGGTGAGGGCACTAATCTCTGCGATCCCTTCAGAGATACAATATTGCTTTTGGTTAACTTCGCTTCCAAGCAGAGGCAGCTCTAATGGTCTATATGTCATCTTCATTCCACAGGTCAGGGGACCAATGTGAGGATTCTGCCAACTTCTAAGTTGTTTATCAAACCCAATTATGCATTCTGAGACTGGGAAAATAACTATAGGAAAATAACTATAGTTCAGGCGCTCATTGAATCAACTGTGAGTCAGACCTTTGATAAAATTCCATTGCTTATCTTGTATCCTTAAGTCCCTCCTTTGACTGAAGAACCACAATGCTATTTGAGATCTCCTGGACTTAATGTCAATTCAGAGCCAGTGTAGATACAAAATACCTGATTATTTCCTTTCCCCACCATATAGTTACCTGGGAAAAGATTGTAGATTCATTTCAGGAGAGATTGAAAAAAGGTTAATAATAAAAAACAATTGGTAGTATAGTAGGGTCCCTCCTCAAGGTGACCTGAATCCATTTCTTTCATAGTCCTATAGATTGTCTAAAGTGTAGAAGTCGGTTAAGGAGCTATGGTTCTTTGTGAGAACATCAAGATCATTGCTTTTCTTCTTCTGTCTGTTAGGGCTGGTATTCTCACTTTGCCTTTGGTAATTTAGTACGGCTACTCGGCCCTTGTAACTCTTACACTCTTACACGCATTGCATTTAGGTTACCCAATTGAATGGCTATGTCTCCCACTCTAAAGTCTGCATTACAGAAAAGAGCAATGACAGAGTTCCTCAAGCTTGCCGGTGTGCCTCTCTCAAACACACTTATAGTATTATAGTATTATTGGAAGGCATGTGTTCTGGACTGTCCTATGGTAGAGGAATAAATATCCAGTTGCCCTAAGCCACTGAATCTGTCCTCAACATTAAGCCAAAGGACATCAGGCATATCCAGATATCCAGCTTTCTCACAGCAAGCCATCTCTAGACTCATATTCCATTCAACCAATCAAATAAATGTGTGTGTGTGTGTGTGTGTGTGTGTGTGTGTGTGTGTGTATCTCTGGGTGGATATGTGAAGATGTGAATGCAGTGCCTGCAGAGACCAGAAGAGGGTGTTGGATCCCCTGGGGCTGGAGTTGCAGGAGGTTGTGAATTGCTCCAAGTGGATACTGAGCTAGCTGAAACATTAAACCCAGAATCTCAGCTCATATCAGTAAATTCAGCCTGGAATGGTTTTATATTCTGTTCACCGCTATGTTATAGCCTTAAAATCTATTAGCATATACATTCTCCAGACCTCTGCTTGTATGAACTAGAAAATTCAAGCAGTTCTTTTGAAGCATAGTGCATCTCCTCAGGGTCATACTGTGTTTCTCACCTCTAAGAGTCTGGTTATAAGTCTAGGACTAACGATGGTCAAGGAGGTGTTCTGAGGGGCATCAGCAATATTTTGCATGGTATCTCCTTCAGAGACAGCAATTGCTAGTTCTATAGATAATGAAGGATTGATTCTCTTGAACAATGATGGAGAGAATAATACTTCAGGGGACAGAGTGGAGGTATACCTATTACTAAGAGTGGGAGACTGTTCATGCAAAATAAAGTCAACACTTTGGGGGTTGGAGAAACGGCTCAATGGTTAAAAAGAAATTTATTAGTATCCAAGGACTTGATGTTTTGGCCTCACTAGGAATTCCTACACAAGTCTATCTTAAGTTATAGGATCCCAATCTTTTCCAGTCAGTGTCCTCACTTTAACTGCAGATACCTTTTGAGGCTCCAACCTAAACTTGTGCTGTAAGTCAGCTAAACTAATAATGAGGGCTCCTATTTCGATTTTGGCATCTTCACCACTATGGGTGCTGGAGAGAGGATTCCCTCTCAGGGCACACTTAGAAACTTTAGATTTTTTTTTCTAGATGGGTTTTCTCTGTGTAGCTATGGAGCCTGTCCTGGAACTCACTTTGTAGACCAGGTTGGCCTTGAACTCACAGAGATCCGCCTGCCTCTGCCTCCTGGAGTGCTGAGATTAAAGGCGTGCACCACCACTACCCAGATGAGCCTTTAGATTTTTTACTACACACCTGGAGCTGGAAAACTGCATCACCGAGCTTGTGTTCTCCCTTTGTTACTTGATCCAGAGATACTGGAAGCAACCAGTCAACACCATTATATTCCCTGTTTTTCAGAATTATTCAAAAGTATTATGTATAAACTCATCAAATTTCCTGCTACTCACCAGTGGTGAACCAGAAGTGTCCAATGCGTTTATTTCACATATTTTTTTCAAGACAAGGTTTCCCAGTAGCCAGTCCTGGATCTCAACCTGTAGACAAGGCTAACCTCAAACTCACAGAGATCTTCCTGTCTATGCCTTTAGAGTGCTGGGATTCAAGGCTTGTGCCACCGCTGCCCGGCCCACATATTTCTTTAAACAGCTCGCTCACTTCATGAATTTCCAGTCAGTGCTCTCCATGCTATCAAGAGAATAGTTAGTAACTTGAGATATAAGATGCTATGGAGTCAGTCCTGGAACTTGATCTGTAGACAAGGGTGGCCTTGAGCTCACAGAGAGCCTCCTGCCTCTGCCTAAAGAGTGCTGGGTTTAAAAGCATGTGCCACCACTGCCCAGCCCACATATTTCTTTAAATAGCTCACATCATGGATTTCCAGTCAGTGCTCTCCATGCTATCAAGAGAATATTTAAATATATATATATATATATATATATATATATATATAGAGAGAGAGAGAGAGAGAGAGAGAGAGAACTAGCTCAGAAACCATTAAGCATTCGTCCTTCTTTATCTAGAACTACTTATGGTACCAAGATCTGCATTAGACAGGCTTCTGTAGAGGAATAGAACCAATAGAATACGTGCATATTATCATAATGGATTATTGGATTGGCTGACATGACCGGAAGGTAGCAGCCCAGCAATGGCTGTCTGTATACTGGAAAGGCACAGAACCTGGTAGCTGTTCAGTCCAAACTGTATGTTTCAGCAGCTCCAAACAAGTGCTGAAAGCCTGGAGGACCCCTGAAGAGTCACTAGCAGTAAGATCATTTGGGAGACTGAAGACCCTGGAGTCTGATGGCAGCCAAGGATGGCAACAGTAGCGGTAGAGGTGCTCACTCAAAAGGGAGTGAAGAGGGGCTGGAGAGCATTTGTAGTTCTTGCAGAGGATCCACGTTTGATTACCAGCACCCACATGGTGGTGCACAACTATCTGTAACTCTAGCTTCGGGGATCTGACACCCTCTGCTGCCCTCTGCCAGTACTGCATGCAAATGGTGCCCATCCATGCATACAGGTAAAACACTAGTACACAGAAAATAATAACCAAGTCTACAGATAGTTCTTGAAAAGGAAGTGAAAGCAGACAAATGCTCGCTGCATTTCACTCATACGTTTATACCTTGGTGACCCACCAGAAGATGGCACTCACATTGAGGGGCAGCTCATATGCTCTGGAAATGCCCTCATAGATATGCCCAGATGTGTATCTTCTAGGTGATTCTAATTCTAGCCAAGATGCCAATCATGGCCAATCATCGTGACTCTATGATTAACTATTTCTGTTGTGATTATGTCTGTCTGCATCCCCTCAGTAGAATGTAGGCTCCTCAAGGGCAGGGATTTGTTCTGTGTGTTCTATATTGTTCAGTCTTACTGTTCTATCACCAAATTCTAGAACAGTGTTTGGCATGAACATCGAGTGAAGCCTTAGTCTCTATTCACAGCACTAACGCAATGGACTTACATGGGGGTTAGTGCTCAACGAATGTTTGTTGAGTTAAACCAAGACCTAAAAGCTGTAGGAAAACTTAGAGTTTTATCCATTATATGGGTGGTTTGAGTCAGATGGCAAGGACTTACATCTTTCAACTATGTTACCTAGCTGTGTTAACGTCTCTGGACTTCCCATTTTTATTGGTAGAATTAAGGTAACTTTAATTCTGCCTTGATAGGGCTTTTTGTTTGTGCTTCAGACTAATGACTAGTCATTGTCTGCTAAAGAGAAAACAAAGACAGTAACAAAAAGTTAGGCCAGGCGACACCTGTAATAGCACCAATCAGGTAGTTAAGGCAAGATGGTCACTCAGTCTCAAAAAAAAAAAAAGATTCTGTCTTATCATCATCCCTTTCCCCCCTTCTACAGGAGAATCTACGGAGACCCGCTTCAGCAAGTATTCCTAGGTGCTTTTGCAGAGCCGCAGAGCTGGCTTTTCTCACATCAGAGCTTTCCTTGTCACTTCCTTCCTTCTACTCTGGACTCCCTTTCCTCTCAGCGTCCCAAGGCTTCTTGGCCTAACAATAACCACGGAGTGGAGGCAGAAGTGTCTGAGGCAGGCTTAAGTAGTTTTCTACTATTGCCGGTTCTGGGGTTAAGTCTCTCACTGGTGATGTAAGAAGGTCGACTATGAAATAGCCATTTCAGGGCCTAGAGGATCGGAGAACAATGGTCCCGATTCGGATATTTAATAGATCTAGATGCTGCCCTCTTCCTTGGTCCCCTGCAGGAGGCAGCACTTCTCGCACCCTGCCCAGATGCCCCTTTGGTCTGTTCTGTTGCTGTCTTTACTTCTGGTGGCCCTAGCTTAGAGCAGGCTTAGGGACCCATTGAGCATCTCACTGCAACTCCCTCTTGGAAGTGGGGCGGGGTGGAGTGGGCAGAAGACAGCCTGAAATTGGCGACAGAGGGACAGGGGGTCGTGCTCCTCAGCTCTCCAGTGGTCCAAATCTCAGTCACCTAGACCAGGGTATCAAGTACCCCCGAGAACGGGGGAGCTGTGGCTGAGCTCGGGGGGGCGCCTCTGCTTCTGTTCCTTTAAGGAGCGGCTGTTTAGCATTCCTGCTGCTGCCACCGCCGCTGCCTGATTCTGTACGCTGATTGGCTGGAATCAATTGAGAAGGGAGCCAGGGAAGAGATGCTCTTGACTACACTCAGATCCATCCTGGGGACCTGAGCAGAAGAGGTTCTCGCCGCGCCTAGCCTTTGCCTGGGCTCCCGCTTCTTCTTTGCCGCTGGGCCTTGGCCCAGAAGCCACAACGGGCGACACGGAGCCACCAGTGCTGGAGGGGGAGCCGTGGGCTCGGGGCAGCGTGGGGGCAGAAGCCCCGGGACGCCCGCCCGGCCCCAGGCCCCGCTCCGCCCGGGCACCCCCACGGGTGACCCCCCCATCCTGGTCTGAGCAGTGCGAGTGTGCTCGGGAGCCCGGTGGTGGTGGTGGTGGTGGTGGCGGCGTGGAAACTGGCGTGGGCTGGGGGGTCCGAGCCGCGGGGGGCAGTGCCATGCACAAGCACCAGCACTGCTGTAAGTGCCCCGAGTGCTATGAGGTGACCCGCCTGGCCGCCCTGCGGCGTCTTGAGCCCCCTGGCTACGGGGATTGGCAGGTGCCGGACCCCTATGGGCCAAGCGGGGGCAATGGGGCCAGCTCCAGTTATGGAGGTTACAGCTCGCAGACCCTGCCTTCACAGGCAGGGGCTACCCCCACCCCTCGCACCAAGGCCAAGCTCATCCCCACAGGCCGAGATGTGGGGCCAGTGCCCCCTAAGCCAGTCCCCGGCAAGAGCACCCCTAAACTTAACGGCAGTGGCACCAGCTGGTGGCCCGAGTGCACCTGTACCAACCGAGATTGGTATGAGCAGGTAAGGACCAGCGGATGGGCGGGTGGTGGGGGCTGGTGGGACAACCCAAAAGGACTAGGGATTGGGGTCTAGGAAGTCTGGGAAACAGTAGGGATTGCTGGGGCTCCAAGTCTCTGGACCCTGAGCCTTAACACTGCGGCTGACCAAAAATATAGTGTTGCAAATATGTGCACCCTTGTGTGTCTGTTTAGGGGGTCTCCATTTGAAGGGGATTGGGAGGAGCTGTTTGTGTCGGGGGTGATGGTATGGCGGAGGGGCACATTTTCTAGTGTGGGGGATTTGGGTTTGTCTCAGTGCGGCGAGGGGGGGAGGTTGGCAGTGTCTCTGTGTCTGGCAGGGGGCGGGAGGTTCTGCGGGGGTTGTATGTGGTGTGTGTCTCCACAGGAGGGGAGGAGGGGGCATGGTGCTCTGCGTAGGGGGGGGAACATATGTGTTTGTATGTATGTTGGGGTGTGTGGAGGAAAGTAATGGAGCTTGTGTGAATGTATGTAGCGGAACCCATGTGCGGGACTGGCTGAGCTTCATCTCAATACCATGAGTCCCTCTCCATCCCAGTCCCTTTGTGTGTGAACGTGCACATGGATGTGTGAGGATGTCTCTCTGGATGTGGAGGTGGCTCTGTAGACGAGGCTTCAGGAGTAGTTGTGTTTGCCTATGTGTGTGTCTCCATGTATATGTGTGTAAGCATGTGGTTTCAAGAGTGTACACGTGTGTGTGCCCGCGCACGCGTGTGTATACATGTGTGTGTGTTGTCCCTGGTGAGAAGCGCTTGACAGGAAAAAGAGGGGAGGGGGAGGAGGCGAGACACGTCCCGAGCGAGGCTGAGAGGCTGCTGAGAAGGACAGACTCTTTTGTCCAAGCCGCTTGCTCTGAAGTGTGTCTGCTGGTGGGGGGGGGGGGGTGAGGGGTGGGAGGTGTTAAACAAGTCTCTTTGCTCCAAAGCAGGCTTATTGCCTGAAGCCAGGCGAAGGGTAACTGCCCTAGTGCAGGGTCTTCCCCGAGTGGGGCATGGCCCTTGTAGGTACCCACAGATGTGGGAGAACTTAGCTCCCCAGCTCTGATTTGGCACAGCTTGGGAGCCCCTGGGTGCTGGGCACAACTCCGGCTTCCACTCCCAGCCTGAACTGCCAGCTTAGAAAATGGAAGGAGCATCTGTGGGAGAAGCAGCAAAATGGAGGCTGGGCCGGCAGAGCCAGGTCTCTGGCATGCATGCGGAGGGCCTCTCTAGTTCTGCCGCCCCCAGGGTGGAAGGAGAGGAGGAGGCTTTGCCATTGATGGCCATGTGCTGAGTGCCCCAAGCTGGTGACCATTCTGACCATCCCTGTCCTCCTCTGAGGATGGGATGTGTTTCCACCTAGAAGAAAAAGAGGGGGCTTCTTGGAGTGAGGGATCCTATGTACTGCTTTTCTGTCTGCCTACACCTCTTCCTGTGTCCCCTAGCCTTGGTTTTTGCCCTCTCCAGTGAATCCCCTCTCCTTTGCTTTTCCCTTACAAACACATGCTCATGCTTGGCCTGCCCAGTGGGAGATAGGTGCCAATTCCAGGGCTGGGCTCATTGGGTACCATTTCTTTATCCAGACTGATCTTTGGGTGGCAAGGGTTCTGAGTGGGAGTGGGACCAGGGCTAGAGCGTGAGCAACTGGGAGCTGAGACCTCCAGGTACCACCCAAACTGAGCTTGGGGGGCATGGCTTGGCACATGTGGGCACACATGGTGCACCAGGGGCACAAAAGAGCTGCATGGATTTTCTTTTCCTCTGTAGTTATTGCATTGTACTTCAGTCAACTGTGTTGGTCTGGGGGTGGGGTCTCTGAAGAGCCAGAGGTTGTTTTCCTCCTGGGACCAGGATGAGGCTGGAATCCTACCACTGACTCCTTAAGACCACAGAACAAGAAGGAGGGAATAAGGGCGGGATGGCTAGTCAGCACTCTTGAAGCCAGCCCTGCAAAGGATGGGACTGGGAAGGGGGAAGCAGAGCCGGAAAAACAAATGAGCCCTCACCCTTTCCAGCAGTTCTCCCCTGGGGCGGAAACTTCCGAAAGGTGCAAGATGGCCATTGAAATGTGGATTAGTGCTGGGACACTTGGGGAGAGAGACAAGGGGGCTTCTTTAGTCTTGGAAATGAATGTGGGAATGAAGAAGCAGGTGTACTTGTCTGGGAAGAATCAGATTTCCGCTGGAAAACCGGCCACAAGCTTGTCTTGTCAGGAAGGCCATGTCTGTGTGCTGCTGAAAACAGCCTGTGATTTGGGAATCATTTTCTTGCCTGTCTTCTCATGGCCACTGTGTGTTAAAGGGCACATGTTCTGCTTCAATGTCTGTGGGCCATCAGGTTCTCCTTCACGGGGAATTTTGCCTACTCCAGTCCTGTCCTACCCCTGGTTTGTCCTTAGACTCCTGACCAGTTCCCACCCCGACCCTTTCTTCTGGGACACAAAGGATTCAAGTTGAAAGTCCCTTGGGAAAAAAAATGGATTAGAATTTTTACTCCCGTCCATTTGAGAACTTGAATTTCTGGAACCTTTGAAGAAAGTGTAAAAATAGGGCTTCCAAGGTACTCTGACAGAAATAACACGGAGAAGGGATGAGTAGCCAAAATGCCCCTGGCCTTGAAGCCTCCTATAATCCAAAGAGCACCTACACAGGTTTTACACCCCAACTCCCAGTGTGCCCTTAGGCACACCCTACAACCTCTCTGGGTCTTAGTGTCCCCAGCTGTCATGTGAAAGTGGTTGGCTAAGATGGTGTGTGCTGTCTTCCTGTATCTGACATTGTGGGAATGTATGATCCCGAAGTCAGGGGGAGCTGTGGTTCAGAAACGGAGAGGTTCCCTAGCCGGGCTTCTGGGCACTTCCTATTGATGCTGGGTGTGGTATGGTTTGCCCACCATGCTCCATCTCTGCCATCCCCCTTAGGCCAGCCCTGCACCCCTCCTAGTGAACCCCGAGGCCCTGGAGCCCAGCCTATCGGTGAGTGCACCACTGATTGGCTCAGTCTCAGACAATTGATCTGAACTAAACAAGCTGCTGGCTTTGGACTTATGGTTGAATGCAAGGGGAGGGGTGTGCTCGCTTGGGGTCAGCCTGTCCCCATCTGTGCTCTAGTGATATCCAGTGGTGTGCTTGAGATCTTTGTGGGAGCGGGGAAGGAAGCACATTGATTAGAGGGCAGCTGGCTGGGAGGGCAGGAAACTCTGAAGGAAGCACTCTGTGTTCCCTTAGGTGAACAGCAGTGATGGCATGTTCAAGTACGAGGAGATAGTACTGGAGCGGGTAAGTTTTCCAGTAGGGAGGGTGGGAAATGGGAAGCAAGGGTTGCATCCAGGAGAGGGGAGGGCCCTGAGCAGCATTTCAAGACTCGAAGGGGAGCCTTATTGAGAGTATGGGGAAACAGGGCCCTCAGAAGCCATATCATTCATCTACCAAATAAATGTTCATTGATCTTGCTTACTGAGGCCTGGAGAATTGGGGTGGGGGGTTGGTTTGCCGAGGCCTCCCCACCCAAATGGTCAACACAGGCTGAGAAACTGCTAGGCTTCTGATGAATGTGCCCCATCCTACCATGGGACCTGGAGAACCTACTCTGGAACATAGAGGGAGATGGAGTGCCAAGACCCTTCTTTCCTGTGCTCTCAGAATGAAATGACTATGCCCTTCCACCCCCTTCTCAGGGCAACTCTGGCCTGGGCTTCAGTATCGCAGGTGGCATCGACAACCCTCATGTCCCTGATGACCCTGGCATCTTTATTACCAAGATCATTCCTGGTGGAGCAGCTGCCATGGATGGGAGGCTGGGGTGAGATGGCCTGGAAGCAGGGCTGTGGGTGGAAGGAACAGGATGGAGGCGAGAAGACGAGGGTCAGCCTGGCAGCATGACCCTTCTGTTAGATCAGAGAGGGAAAGGAGAAAGGGAGAGGAGAGGGAGGCTATAGAAGACACGGTAGAGGGATGGTGGCATGGTGTCATGCCTCTCGGGCTTTCCCCACAGGGTGAACGACTGTGTGCTACGGGTGAATGAAGTGGACGTGTCCGAGGTGGTGCACAGCCGGGCTGTGGAGGCGCTGAAGGAGGCAGGCCCTGTGGTGCGGTTGGTGGTGCGGCGGCGACAGCCCCCGCCTGAGACTATCATGGAGGTCAACCTGCTCAAAGGGCCCAAAGGTGTGGCCCCCCTGGTTCCTAGCTCTAGCCCCCCACCCCCACCCCCAGGTCCTAGGTCACAGCTGCTCCGTGGGGGAATGGAAGGGAGTGGCCTTCCTCCTAGCATGAGTCCTCCAGTCCCAGCTCATAGCCTTCTTTCTTGACCTCAGGTTTCACCCCTTACTGCCCTTGGGGTGCTAGGCTGGTGTTTGGGGTTCCTGGTGGGAAAGGAGCTTTTGGAAGGGATATTGGGATAGCTGGTAGGGAATCAACTTTGCAATGTAGGAACTGTGCTGATCTCTTTTTGTGGCCCTTTCCCACCTTCCTGCTGGGTGCCCTTTAGGCCTGGGTTTCAGCATTGCTGGAGGCATTGGCAACCAGCATATCCCAGGAGACAACAGCATCTACATCACCAAGATCATCGAAGGAGGAGCTGCTCAGAAGGATGGCCGCCTACAGATTGGGGACCGGCTGCTTGCGGTGAGACAGCCTTCATGGGGATGCCCAAGTGGGAGGGTGGGGAGGGGCAGCCCTGGTGACCCTCTCACTACACCTAAGCCTCAGCAGAGAAGGAGGCATTTCGGAGAATTTCAAGACTATCACTTGAGTTGTGTATACCCAGGAATCAAGACCCTAGTTCTTTTCATGGTAGGGTCAAGCACCTTTATATCCCTTTAGTACTACCTCACTTGGACCTGTTAGTATACTTAAAGGCCATTCCTTTGAGCTCCCTGGAGAGGTTTCTCTTTCTTAGACCCACCCCAGGGTGTCTCCTCTTCCAGGTGAACAACACCAATCTGCAGGACGTGAGGCATGAGGAAGCTGTAGCCTCACTGAAGAACACATCAGATATGGTCTATCTGAAGGTGGCCAAGCCAGGCAGCCTCCACCTCAACGACATGTATGCTCCCCCTGACTACGCCAGCAGTACGTACCCATTGGTCTTTGGCCTTGGTTTCGGGGGGCCGGGGGTAAAATGTCTGTACAAATACAAATGCCTGTGTCATAACTGAGTCCAGGCCCCAGTCCCTGTGCTTGGGAGTTGGGTGTCCTTGGGCAGGTTCTTTTCGCACCTTTAGTTTCCTCTTCAGCCTAAAGGAGCTAATGATACTTATGCTGCCTTCCTCATTGGGCTGGTGCAAGGATCAAATGGGATCATGGATGAGAAAGCCTTTGGAAAACTCGTAGGCTATAGAGATGTGAGGGATTATTATTAGTCACACCCCTACCCATGCCTTTCTTTGTCGACTGCCTTGACTTCAGCTCTTTCTAAGAGGCCCAGGGGTAAGCCCAGGGTTTAGAAAAGGACTGAGGAGGAGGAACCCTGGGGTGAGAGTGGGGGAGTGGATAAAACAGAGGGCTGCGCCTAGGTAATCAGCATCCCTGGGTCGTTTTTTGCACCTGAGGTAGGGTGTATGGAAAAATCCTTGAAGGGGGTTGGGAAAAATTCCATAGTGGGGGCATCTCTGGACCATTTTCTTTCTTTTTCCACCTCAGCTTTCACTGCCTTGGCTGACAACCACATAAGCCATAATTCCAACCTGGGTTATCTCGGGGCAGTCGAGAGCAAGGTCACCTACCCTGCTCCTCCTCAGGTGCCCCCTACACGCTACTCTCCCATTCCCAGGCACATGCTGGCTGAGGAAGACTTCACCAGGTAAGACCCTATCCTATTCTTTCCACCTAGAGTGGAGTGAGGATGCCATTTTCTGGCCGGCAACAGTGAGGCCTTGGGACTCTAGGAGGGGGCAGAGGTGGCTGCAAGAACGAGTTCTGCCGTCAGGGGGAGTGCCTAGCGAGTGGCCCAGAACAGAAAAAGCAGATCCGGGGTGGGGTGAAGCATTTAGGGGGCTGGGGGGAGGGGTCGGGTGACGGGGGTTTCCTGCCCCGCGACAGTGGCAATCCTCTCTGCGGTAGCCATACATAATCACTGAGGAAGGTCTTTCAGCCCACGGGGTCGTCGGGACTCTGAGAGACCGCCAGGCCGGCCCGGGACCGCGCGGGGAAGGGCTCCGCCCCGTGGTGGTGGCGGCGGGCCGGGGCCGTTGAACTGGTCAGGCCGGCCAGGGTTGCAGGGGGACAGGTTTGCGGGGTGGGGCCCAGGTGGCTGCTGGGCCGGCTGCAGTGGAGACGGAAGGGTAGGCTGAGCCGGGGAGAACCAGAGGAGCCATGGAGAGGGCTCGCAAGTTCTCAGGCTCAAGCTTGGCCCTGGGTTTGGGCACGGCCTCGGCTTCGGCCTGGAGGAGGGCCTCGCAGAGGTGGGCCTGGCCGCTCCGCTCTCTGAGGCCCGGAGGGGATGCCAGGTAGGGAGCATCGCACCCCAAGACTCGGAACAGCAAGAAAGGAAGAGGCTCATTTGAGGCCTGGGCGAGGAAAGATGTAACAGATGAAGATGGCAGGATGGGACAACGTGCTGGGGAGTCGGGCGAGTTGTCGAGATACACATGTGCAGAGAATTCCGCTCACCTGGTGGCACTATGACCATTTAGAGACAGCTTCCTTGAATATGGCCAGTTTTAGTCAGTTTTTTAAAGAAATATATTTGTCTCCTCTCTTCAGTGTAGCCCTTAAGCACCATTTCGGGACCTGGGATTTTTTTCATCTCTGTCTTCCACACTGGCCAGCAGTAGCTGTTAGGTTGTTGGGGGAGGGTAGAAAGGGTCCTAAATTGGAGGGTGGGACTTCAGAGCTTTGAAGTAGCAGGTGTAGTGGAAGTATCTTTTGGATGATGAGGGCCATCAACCCAGGGTCACTCCACTGCCCTTAATGGGTTTCTCTTTCAGCCTAGGGCCTTTCACAGACCGGAAGACTCAGGGGAAGATGAGCGAGTGAGCTGGGAAATGTGGGCTCTAGAGTTCTGGCTGAGGTTCTGTTGACCCGAGAGTGCGGAGGAATGCCCATTGGGAAATTGACTAGGGCGCTTTAGGAAGAGGAACTGAAACTTGGCACCTGCCATACCAGAGCAGCCAAGCAGGTTTCAAGAGCCAAAGGGGAAAACAGGGTATCACATATAAAAGCCCAAGTCTTTTCCTACAGCAAGTATGGCTCTCGTGACAAACTGGTCTTCGCAGGGTCAACAGTTCCTGTCATCCTTGGTCCTGACCTCCCTGTCATGTCTTTACTCCTTTTCCTCCAGAGAGCCCCGCAAGATCATCCTGCACAAAGGGTCTACAGGCCTGGGCTTCAACATCGTGGGAGGAGAGGATGGAGAAGGCATTTTTGTTTCCTTCATCCTGGCAGGAGGCCCAGCCGACCTGAGTGGGGAGTTGCGAAGGGGAGACCGGATCTTATCGGTGAGACAAAGGCGAGGTGGGAGGATGGGTGCTGTGCCAAACTAAAAGGGAGGAGGGGAGCCCTTGTGTCCGCCAAGAAATATTTCTTGAGATGAGGGAAGGGCTAAGAACTGAAGAAAATGTAAATTGTCTTTATAAATATCTTTAATGAGGGAAAAGGGACCAAGACTGTACTTGAGGAAGAAATGAATGTCCCTGGATCTTAAGTTTGATTGGCATTTGACTTCCACAAAAATAATTATTATACTAGTGATAGGCCTAATTTGGGGGGGGGGCAAGAATGGAATTTGGGGAAAACAAATCCAAATCGGCTGAGAGATGGGCTGTAAGCCCCTTTCTAACTGCTATGACTCTTTCTTGCCATTGGGGTGACTCACAGCTCTCTCTCTGGACAGGTAAACGGAGTCAACCTGAGGAATGCCACTCATGAGCAGGCAGCAGCTGCCCTGAAACGGGCTGGCCAGTCAGTCACCATTGTGGCCCAGTACAGACCTGAAGGTAAGGGAAGACTGGAAGACGAGTTGAAACCTATACTTAGTGTTGGCTTTTCCTACCAAAGGAAACAAAGCCTTTGACCAAATCTGCGGTCCTCTAGTGCGGTAACCTCTTATTTCCTTTCCCTTCTAGACAGTGTGGTTGGTTTGGGTGGTTTGGGAGCATCAATCAAGGGGCGTTTAGAGCCTGCTGATGAGGGGTGCAATATTGCACAAAGCCAGTAGTGGGCAGCAGCCCACGGGGAAGAAGGGCCACAGATTTTAGGGCAACTGGAAAAGCCAAGGAGAAGCGGAGGGCTCAGAGGCGGTGATTGGAATTGTGTGCCCTGGAAAAAGAGTAACTCTCGGTTAGAAGGACTTCAGAGTAAGAAATCCTAAGCGATCTTGGGTCAAATATTTGTGAATCCCATTTATCTCCCTTCATCAAAATGACTGCAAGACCCACACAGGCTTTGAAAGGTGATGCTAAACCCTTGGGATGGGGCGCAGTGGGGGGGGGGGATTTCAGGAGAAGACTCAGCCAGATGGAGAAATTTGTTTTCTCAGCTAGCAGGTCCTCAGCAGGGGCGAGTGGGCGGGGCCAGCTATACAAACAAAGGTGTTTGATTGGCCGGGGCCCGCGGAGGCCCAGGTGCTGAGGTGAACCATAGGAAGGCGCGCCCCAGCCTGCGAGCCTGCTGGACAACCATTGGCGCGCCGAGCGCGGCCTCCAGCCGCACGCCCCGCCCCCTGACCCAGGCGGAGGGCGACGGGCGCCCCTCCTCCCCTTGCGCCTCTGGCGTCTCCTCCTCCATCCCCTCCCCCTCCTCCCCTTCTCCCCTCCTCTCGCGCGCCCTGCTTTGTGTCCGTGGTCTCCTGCGCGGGACAGAGGGACCGGCCGGAGCCGGGGCTTTCTCGACACTAGACCTGAACTCCGACTGGGCGCCAGGTGAGGTGGGACGGACCGGGGCCAGGCCCCCTCGCAGGCCCCCCTAGCCTCTCCACTGTTCTGTTCTCAGCCTTTTTTCCAACATTGCGCCCCATCTCTGTCCTCTCCCTCGAAAGCCTGAGCTGCGCACCCCGCGGCCCCTTCTCCACCTTCGGGGTTTGCTCGGCCTGCATCTGGGCCGCGAGGGGCTCTCGGTCCACCGAACCCTGGCTTTCACCTCCGTGCCATCACCGCTTCTCACGCATCAGCTGTGCCCCCTTAAGCCTCAGTGCTGCCCACAGCCTCCTTCCTGCTGCGTTCCTAGCTGCCCTCGAGTCCTCGCAGGAATTTTCGAAATCGTCCCTTTCCCCCATGCGCATTTTCTCTCCCTAACCCTAAGAATGCCGGCGATTAGTTTAGGATTCTCGTGCCCCCCCGTCTTCTCAAAGCTTTCATTCGGTACCAGACGTCTTTCGTCCCCCCTCCCTCTTGTAAGGCTGGTCTTTGTCCCTTAGGGCTGCAGCGCCCGGGTTTCCTTGGACACCTAGGCCCTGCAGGCCTGTAACCCATGTGGAGGAAGGGACCTGGCCCTGGCAGGTGCTCCAGTTTTGCGAGCAGAACAGGAGAAGCCACCCGGGATCCCTGTGGCAAAGCTAGGAAGCCTCAAAAAAGCGACCACCTTTGTCCTTCCTGCCCCTCCCCCACGCTGGTTCCGTGCTTTCTGAGCCCTAAAGAGAGATGGCCTTGTCACCCTTTACCAGGCTCCTTGGGAGATACGAGTGAAGGGAGTTAACTAATAGGCGATCTCGTTAGTCTCAGGTAATTGGAAAGAGAGATGCAAATGGACATCTCGACTCCTTCATCTCCATGTTTGGCTTTCAGCTTCCTGACAGGGAATGAACGCACCTTATGGGTCTTGTTTTTTATGAATCAGGCTTGTGCGGTTTGCTTCTCAGGAGAGAATTCGCTTTTGGATTTTTTCTTAGCAACTAACAGTTATCAGTTTTGGCTCTCAGTTTAAGAGTGGGTTCTGCAAAGGAAATGGCTTCTCATTGCCTGCCTGTCCCCCTCACTGCTCTCTCTCTCTCTCTCTCTCTCTCTCTCTCCCTCCCTCCCTCCCTCTCTCCCTCTCTCCTTCTCTCCCTCTCTCCTTCTCTCCCTCTCTCTCTCTCTCTGTGTGTGTGTGTGTCTGAAGAGCCGATGCTGTTTCGGTTTTCTCTCTGATGCTGGGCATATGGAAACAATACTGTTGAGTTTGTCTGGTGGTGGTATGCTGGAAACTGGTGACTAACTGTTTCTTTGACTTTTGTTTGGGGAATGCAACTGGTCTGCATAAAAAGCTGTAAGTAGCTAAAGTGATTGCTGCAGGGTTTGCTGCTCTCAGTGTGTTTTTGAGTTTATGACATCGCCTGAGGAGCTGTCTTGTGGCAAGTCCTTCTTCCACTTGCTGCACAGGGCCTTCCTTTCAGGAATTAGTTGAAGCACTGCTTAGCAATGCCTCCCCAGCCTTATTTTTTCTTTGATTTGCTCAATTCAACAGAGCCCTAATAAGCCAAGCTTTGTCTTCATTTGCAAATGTATCTTTAGGTACTGGTCGAGACATCAGACATTCTGTATTGAATCCACACTTTTCTTAGATTAAATCCTTGTATTTAATGGTAAGGATTCCACATTGGTAATTTAAAAATACATTAAAAATGGTTCTTTGGAGGATTGCATCATGGTGGCTGCTTGCGAGGTGAATAATCCAAATAAATGTGTCTGTTGGCAAAAGTGGCAGAGACTTTGCATACTATTGGCTAAGCAACCGTTCGAGTTGGATTTCTCACTTAGAACGTGAGCACTGGAAAGGGTCAGATCACAGTCGGCACCCCTACTGTGCAGACTGGAACAACTGTGGGAGAGTTAGAACTCAAGTGGCCCGAGGTCACACAGGCAGAGTTGCTGAGGGTCAGCAAACCATTTGATTTTGAGGTCCACCAGGGGCACATGCAGTGCTTGTAACAACTGTGACCCAAGACTCGTGCAGAGTGGAAGCCCACCAGGAACCAGGGTGGAGAAATACCAGGGGGCTAAAGGAATGCGGGAAAGACAGATCGAATGGAAGGGGACTCTGCGAAGGCGCCGTTCCCGTGCAGGCTTTGACTACATCATATTTAGCACAAGTGCTTAAAATAGCGCTGACTAATTAGAACAGTCAGGATAAGAACTTTTTCCCTGCCTTTTAAAATGGTTTAGATGAGATATAAGTCATAATAGCACTCACTTCCCACATGTAGGTCTATAGTTCAATGACACAGAGTTGTGCCTGTATTGCCACAGATAAATTTACAACATTTTTATGACCCCCTCTCATTTGAATACATAATGAAGGACAAGCATTGGGGATGTGATAGGCAGTCGCTTCCTAATGTATCTCCCTTGAACATTCAGGGGGCTGGATGGCAATTTAAAATGCTCATACCTTGAGACTTTTTGTAAATATGTTTGCTTAGTGTGAACTAATGAGGTATAGGAATTGGCTCTCTCTATTTGTGCTTTATATTGTGCCTAGCATGGGTGTCTTACAAAGTGTTTTCATGATGGAGTTTTGGAAATAATGAAATAGAAATAGAACTGCTAAATGACAAGACACCACAGTAAAAGATGTTATTTAATAGTTTCACTTCTGACTGCTCCAAACTGTAGTGGATTTCAAAATCCTACCTGTTAGCTAAAAACATCAAAATGGAAAAATTTAAACAACTGGTACTTGGCAGAGGCTTTCTTCCAAACTCTTTTAAACTGGATAATAAGCCTCATTGACTTATGGAATTGTGGCACCAAGGTGAAGGTGGGCTTGCCATTAACATTTTGAAATGTACATTTTGTTTGCCTAGTTACTCTGTTTTGGCCTTTGCTTAATTTTTTTTCCTTTTTTTTATTTATTTATTAAAGATTTCTGCCTCCTCCCAGCCACCGCCTCCCATTTTCCTCCCCCTCCCCCACCTTTGCTTAAATTGAGCTAGTGTTTTTCTGGAAAGACCTTTTGTTTTTAGAGTAGAAACCTGATGTTCAAATCAAGAAGTGAGTCAGAAATTGATCACCTAAAGTAGCCCAACTGGGGACTGATCCTTTGTGAACAGTTTTTTCCTACTGGAATGCACATCCACATAGGGTATGAGTATGCCAGTCGAGAGAATGACTTTTTCCATTTTAAGGGGCTGAATGGGCTCACCACAGAAACCCTTTCACAGAAGGCCTGAACAGCTAGAGGCCAGGGCAGCTAACAACTAGAATGTTTCAAAGGGTTATTTTTCCCACAACATTTCTCCAAATCTGGAAATGAAGGGTGTAAACATTACTACCCTATCAGTATGATCTGTCATGAGAGCAGAGCTAAAAGTACATCAAGGCAAAGAAAGTTTGAAACACCTACTACATTCCTAAAGCAAGACCAAGGCGAGGACAAAGATGGTTCCTCAGTAGTGAAGAGGTGGAAAGGCCCCAAATATCCATCAAGCCAAGAAAGGGTAAACAAAATGCACTCTCAGCAGAGACCAGGTTTTTATTTTACCATCAAACAGAATAAAGAACTGATTGTCACAACATGCTTGTGAACCTTAAAAGCATGAAGTACTCCCACCAGCACTTGAGAGGCGGAGGCAAGCAGGTATCTATGACTCTGAGGCCGGTCTGGTCTATATAGGAAATTCAGACCAGCCAGGGCTACATAGACCCTGCCTCAAAAACCAAACCAAACCAACAAAAACACAATATAAACCACATATTGCATGATTTTATTTACATATATGGGCCATAAGAGGCAAATTAATGGAAGCAAAGGACCTAGGGCTGTGGTGAAGGGAGGAATGGGAGATTTTCTCTGTTCCTCTCCTTTTAATACACAGAGAGGGGCAAGCTTTGGGAGGGTGACAGGTTGAAGATACTTGCTTTCTAGTGTATCTCCCCTGCACAAGTAGGGGTTGGACATCATCTAACCTGTGGACTTGGCACATAGGTTGTTAAATTGCTTTATTTAGTATCACTATGATACTTTTTTTCTGAGACAGGGTTTCTCTGTGTAGGTAGCCCTGGCTGTCCTGGAATTCACTCTG